TAGTACTTATTTTTTTATTCATAAGATTCGAACTTAAAATATTATTTAAGGAAAATTGACTTCTTTTTATTCGAATCAACAAACCGTTTGTTAGTGCATGGGAGTTTGGGGCTAAAGCCTAAACCACAAAACCCAAGATTCAAGACATCTGAAAAAGAAAAAAACTAAGAACACATTATTTTTTTATATAATATTTCACAAAAAATATAATGTGACAATTTATTTAATATTATATTATTAGCTTCTTTTTTTTTTTAAGAATCATATATAATATTTTATATATTTATTTATTTAATGATACATCACATTATGCATTATATTGTCTAGAAAGCACTATAAGCATCTCCTATATAAGAACGTATACCACCTTCATTTATCTTTATTTGTTACATTTTTTTTTAAATATATAGATATTAAATATTTCAAAAGAGACATAAACTATCAGATGATGAAGGGGATCCCCATCAAATGGCTTGTATGGCAAAAAAAAAATCCAATAACTCATGTTTTATAATCCAATATAGTTTGTATTGCAAAAACATAGTACTCTAAAAATTTCGTTTTAATTTTAACTTTATATTAAAAAACTCTTAAAAGAAAAGTTTTTTTGTTACTAAAAAATCTAGGGAAAATATTGAATTTAAAGCCCTAATGATTTTATTTTTCTAAATAAATGTTTGGTTAAATGCCAAAATTTACTCTCTAAACTTTTAGTTTTGAACAATTTTAGTCTTAAATTATTTTTTGAACTTTTTTTTTCTCTCTTATGTGAAAAATGAACTTTTTTGGTGTTTCTGTTAGTTGTGTTCGTTAAGTTTGTACAATTGACTTTTTTAATCCTTGAATTTTTGTTTTATGCACATTTATGTCATTAAAAGAAATTAAAAAATGCTTGCCTGATGGACTTAATGGATAAAATTGACAAAATAACAAAAAAAAGCACCTTTCACAGTTGGGAGATGACTTAAGTGTAAAAAATAGTTTAAAAACTAAAATTGTTAAAAATTGAAAGTTTAGGAACAGCATTTAACCTAAATGTTTCTATAATTGTGCAAAGAAAAGTGTGACAACTAAAAATGGAAAGAAATAATATGAATCATCCTCATGCGATCTATATGTGGCTATTGGCTAAAATTTGTAACTGAAGCAAAAAAAGAAACTGACGAAACTATAATGATAGGTTACATTTGATTGGGTTTTGGCTTTTTTGGTTAACTTTTAAACGGAATCAATTTCAAATCATTTAATTTTTGGTAGTTAGGTTTAAAATTGAAAAACCAATGACTAAAGTTAGTGTAATTAAAAAGTTGACCTAAAAACATTTTATATAATTTTTAATGGTTTCTAAATTTTTTTAATTTTTTTGAAAATTTTTTTCAAATTATTTATTTACTTGCAGCAATTTTATGTTTTAATTATTAAAATTAATAAAATAAAAATTGAAAATTAAAAAAATATAGAAATAACTTTTTTTTTAATTAAAATCATAACTAGATTCGAATGTTTATTTTCAAAAAGTTAATTGAATTGATAAAACCCGAACTTTTGGCTTTGGTTAATAGTTTTCGAAATTCAATAACTGGAAATTTGGTTAATTGATAATTCGGTTTCGGCTGCAAATGAAACCAAACATTGTCCACCGTTACGAGATAAGATTTCTCTAGTACACTTGAGTTACATCTCCCATTGTCAGCTGAAAATGCGCCGGCATGTGTGGGAGTCACTCATTTGTCTTGTAGTTGCTGCAAGATTGTACTGTATAGATACACGTGTATGCGCCTACCTTTCTTTTATTTAGGTAGTGTTATTGAAATAATTATTTTATTTTATTTTATTTATAATTTTTATATATTATTAAATAAATTAATATATTTAATATTTTAAATTTCATATAAAATAAAAAAATAATTATTTTAATAATATATTAAATTATATAAAAAATAAAATAAAATAATTATCTCAATAGTATTTCCCTACCTTGATTCATGCAACACCACGTCATAAATTAGTGAAGTTGAGATCCTTAAAACTTAAATTTGAGCTCAATAGTTCTTAACAAACTTGAGCTTGATAAAATACACGAACATGTTAAATTTTTTTAAAGAATAAATTAATCATTTTATTAAACAATTATATATGATTATTTTTTAGTATAATGGTCAAATTGAGTTTAAATTGCGACTCAAACTTGATTTAATTTAATTTTTTTAAACTAAATTTTGAGCTATAATTTGAGTTTGTGTCAAGCCAAGTCCAACTCAAATTTAAGTTAAGTTGCTTTTGAATTACTCAACTTATTTATAATACGTGGCTCTAAATAATAAACAACGTACCATTTTATTGTTTTATATTTTACTTGTTAAAATTTTACA